GGGCACCCGGGACAGAATCTGGCACCCCGACCGGGACTAGAACCTGAGGTGTTGGCGCTGCAGGCGGAGGATTAGCCTAGCGAGCTGCGGCGCTGGCCTGAAATATTTCTTCAATCTGTGAGATGCTTGGCTTTGCCTGCCCTTGTCAATTAAAGGAAAGTTCTGGGGGAAGAGGGGTAACCTAGCAGGGAAGACACCAGTGCCACACCCAGAGCCCCCGGTTCAGTGGCTGGCTCTGAGCCCCGAGTCCAGCTTCCTACAAGGCAGATCCTGGAGGCAGCAGAGACGGCTCCAGTGGCTGGGCTCCCGCCACCCATGTGGGAGACGTGGGCTGAGTTTCCTGCTCCTGGCTTCAGCCCCAGCTGTTGAGGGCATGTGGGGGATGAGCCAGCCATGCATGGGACCTCTCTCTCTCTCTCTTTCCTGCTTTCAAAGAAACACATTTTTTCAAAAAAGAAAGGTCCACCCTCACATAACTTTGTTGTAACTTACAGTAGTCTGTTTTAAAGTGTTTGTCTCTGGTTTTCTCTGGACTGGAATGGACTTCAGGGGCCACTTAAGCCCAGGGCTTGAGGCACATGGCTGGTTATTAGCACCTGCCAGGAGCTTCCTGGACCTACAGAATCAGAATCTGGGGGCTGATCCAAAAATCCGTTAATGGGATGGATCCTGTTGGTGGACTTACATTTTGGATTCGTGACTTCTTTCTTTGCGAACAAAAGAAAACAGTGTGGACTCCATCTGCCATCCCTCCAGTTTTGCCGCTGCAGTCAGCTACGGGGGAGGGGACAACAGTTTTGGACTCAGAAATTCATGTGAAACGGCTTGTCCGTGATTGAGCAAACCAAGGTCCCCACTTCCGGCTGTTGATCCTCTTCTTCTTTATCCTCTTTCCTCTGTCCCACCCCCCCTCCATTTCAGTCCCCCTCCTCCTGCTGGTCGCCAACAGCAACACATACATTTCCTGCCCTAGAGGCTGGCACGCCGGAGGAGGAGGGCCCGGTGAATGGTGGCATTCACGGTGCAATGATGTGATGATCACAGCTCGGGTTTGGGCACCTGGCAGGAGGTCAGGGGTGTGAAACCACCATCTGGATTGCGTATGCAGTGGGCAGTTTCCTGCTAGTGTCTCCTGCCACAGTCATTTGATGTGGCCAAGCTAGCGACAGTTACAGCTCATTCTGAGAAGAGAGTGGGTTTGGGGGTCTCAGTGTTGAGCTGGTGGATCTGCCACTACCCAGCCTCAGGAGTGTTTCTTATTCCTGCCCGATAGGCCTCAGCTGCAGCCTAGGGGCTCTAACGTGACTGTAGCAGCCAAAACAAACCCCACCAACTTCAACCCCACCAGTTCCTACTGCACCTTATTTCATTTTTTTTTAAAGATTTTATTTATTTATTTGAGAGGTAGAGTTACAGAGAGAGAGAAGGAAAGACAGAGGAAGGTCTCCCATTTGCTGGTTCACTCCCCAAATGGTTGCAACAACCAGAGCTGGACCAATCCAAAACCAGGTGCCAGGAGCCAGGAGCTTCTTCTGGGTCTCCTATGTGGGTACAGGGACCTAAGCACTTGGGCCATCTTTGACTGTCTTTCCAGGTCATCAACAGGGACCTGGATCCAAAGAGGAGCAGCTAGGACTCTAACTGGTGGTCATATAGAATGCTGGCGCATTATAAAGCAGGGATGCTTTATAAACTTTTTGTTTAGTCTGCTTTACCACAGCACTGAGCCCTACTTATTTCATTTTTTAAGCACCACAATTTTGTGACCTGGGTTCCTCCTACATTCATTGCTATGCTGAGCCATATTGGAGAATGAGGCAAGAGGAAAGAGTTATAGATCCTGTCTGCAATTAAAATGTTTGTGTTTCACACATCATGATTTTTTTGCATTATTTTTTACTTTCAAAATATTTCATTAAAAGTTTATTTACTTCACTCACTGACTTTTTTGATGCCCCTTCAATTTTGCACGCTAGTATTGCTTAGCCTCTGACTCTCCCAATGCGATTTCCTGTGGTTCGTGACCGAGTTCTAAGTCCTGCCATTTCCTCCTTGTGATCCTGGGATCTTCTTCTCCTTTCTGGTCAGGATGAAGGCAGCAGCCCCCAACGTGGCCTCCTGCTTCCCCCCACTCTAGACCTCCATTCTTCTCTTTGCCCCGTGGTTCCAGGGTGACTTTTTTGAATGTGGCTGCCACATTGGGTTGGCCTTCCATCTTCTCCGACTCTGCCCCCTGGCGCAGAGCAGCCCTGGCATTTGGGTGCGGTTGGCCTTGTCCCAGTTCTGGGGGTGAGCCCTGGTTGGTGAGACCCTCAGCAGCAGGCTTAGAGTGGCTCTGATCGCAGTGAGACGCTGGATGGCCCTGGGTGGCTGCAGGGAGAGAAGAGCCCTTCTCTCTCCTTGGCTCTGAGCTGGGTAGTGTGCAGATGTCAGGCCCAGACATGCTAGGGAAGTTTGACTGCTGGGAGAGGAGGCAGCCGGGGATGAAAGTGACACGTGATGGGGAGTGGAGCTAAGAGAATAACAGAAGGGATGGATTGAGCGGAATCTGGAGCCCCCTGCTTCTAGATGTGTCCATGCTGCACTACCGGAGGCTGTTGGTAGTGCTCCTCCCTGACACAGCTGCACAGTTGTCCGTGGATAGATGATGCCGTGGTCTGAACGTGACTCCATACCCCTGAAACCCATGGTAAAGTCTGGATTGCCGTGGTGGAGGTGATGGGTGACGGGGCCTCATGTGACTAGGGCGTTAGAAGGGACCTTGGGAGTGAGCTCTCACCCTGGTGGAGCTGGAGTCCTCACCGGAAGAGCTAGGCTGCCCCTCACATACAGGCTCTTTCCTGGCCACCTGTGCACCTGTCACCGTTCACCATGCTCACACGCCTCCCTGGAGGCCGGCACCAGGCTCTTGGACCACCCAGGCTCCTGAACCATGGCCAAACAAGCGTCTTCCCTGGCGACGTTGCCCAGTCTCGGGCATTCTGTAGCAGCAACGCACCTGAGTAGGAGAAACTAGTATTTAACCAGCTCTCCATGATGGGGCTTTAAGATGATCTCCATTGCTGCCCGTTGTTATGAACAATGCTGCAGTCAACATCTCTGTAGCTGGCTTTTTTTTTTTTTTTTTTTTTTGCATATGTGAAATATTTTGTAGAAAACAATGACAGAATGTGGAATTGTTCAGCTGAAGGCTACATGTACATTTATTTGAACGGAAAATGCCAAATTATCCTCTGAAAAAGGATAAACTGCCCTGGTAGAAGTTAGGAGCCGTCATGGGAGAACCGGTCAATGTGCGGAACAGCACATGTGCCGGAGAGTGCAGATGTGAGCCCCAGCTTGCGGCGTGCAAGCAGGGTCCCGGAGGGCCTCTGCTGGGCCAGGTGTTACCTTTGAATAGCTGGAAAGTGAGGAGTCGGGGCCCCAGGAAGAGGCCAGGGTGTCTGGGTGAGCAGGTGCGGGTCTATAGCTGTTTACCAGCTGCCATGAACATGCTCGTGTGCGCTCACCTATTTGCCTCTTCCTGCACCGATATCGAGATGTTGGGTGAGACACCACTTCTCTGTATTGTTCTTTTTAAAAATTCTCATGGTTATATTGTTTTCTTTTTCTCTTCCAGATCAAGCGTGTGCAAGAGGCTGGGCTCAGACTTCCGGATGGCCGATTTCCTGCTCTGCTGGGAAAGAACGCACCACCCCTTCCGGAGGCTGATCTGCGAGCAGGCCTGCTGGCCATCCTTCGGGATGTTCTGTGAATTAACTTGTTAAAACCACAAATAAAGGGGCAGGCTCTAGCATAGTGGTAAGGATGCCGCTTGGGATGTTCGTGTCCCGTATCAGAGGGCCTGCGTTTGAGTCTCAGTTCTAATTCCAATTCCAGCTCCCTACGAATGCACACCCTGGAGGCAGAAGATGACGGCTCCAGTACAAGGGTGTCTGCCACTCACAAGGGAGATCTGAGTTGGAGTTCCCAGCTCCTGGCTTGAGACTGTCTTAGCCCTGGCCATTACGGACATTTGGGGAAAGAATCAGTGAACGAAAGATGTCTTTTTCTCTCTTTTCTTTCTTAAGATTTATTTTATTTATTCAAAAGGCAGAGTGACAGAGAGAGGCAGAGACAGAGAGAAAGAAATTTTTCATCTATTGGTTTACTCCCCAAATGGCCGCAACAGTTGAGTTGGGACCAGGCTGAAGCCAGAAGCCAGGAACTTCATTCAGGTCTCCCAAGTGGGTGCATCGGCCCAGACACTTGGGCTGTCTTCGCTGCTTTCCCAGGCATATTAGCAGGGAGCAAGATGGGAAGTGGAGTAGCAGGGACTCGACCTGGTGCTCTGATACAGGATCCGGCATTACAGGCAGCTGCTGAGCCACAATGTTGGCCCAAGATCTCTCTTTCTGTCTCTGTCATTCAGGTAGGCAAAGTAAATAAATAAATAAATTCAAAAAACCCAGTCAGGTGACTGTATGGGATAGCCAAGTCTAAGGTGAAGCTGTGGTAGGAAGAAACGGTGGGTGCGCAGAGGAACCTCTGCACCTGCTGGATCCATTTTCAAATGAAAACGCTTGGATCAAGAGAGGCAAAAATGACATGGGAAGTCCCTGATGGCAGCGGGAGGCACATGGGGACACCGAGCTCAGGGCTGTGTCCCCCACACCTCCATGCCCCAGGGATTTTCTCTATAGCCACAGCCCCAGCTGTTCCACTGTGCTGTTTATTTCACACGTCCTGCCTGCTCCCAAAATCAGGAACGGGAGATGAGATAGCATTGGAAGAGTGTTGGAGCCCTTGTGGGTCGTGTCCCAGGCACCCGTGCAGATGCTGTCCATCTGAAGTGAAACCTCTCCTTGCCTTGTCGCGCCCTCTTCCCTCCATACTCCCATCATCAGCAACATCGTTGGTTATTTCTGGTGCCCATCTCTCACTCTCGCGGAAGGCGCCACAAGGGGAGTTCACCCGCGAAGGGGCGGGACTTTGTGACGTCATCACCACACGCCCAGAACCACACCTGACACCTGGTCGCTGCGTGACAGAGCCCTGTGTGCTCTTGGAGGTCTGCAGCCTGTTCCTCCAGGGAGACAAGGAAGTTGACAGCCTCGAATGCCCCAGCTCTGCTGGAGATGCAGATCAGGGCGGAACGCAGGTGAGGGAGCACACAGCCAGAGGGCATTGTCAGGAATGCTGGCACCAGGGCGCAAGGGCCACAGCCAGATAGCCGCTGGGAACTTCAGCAATTCTTTTCTCCTTCATTGCAGTTCTCTTCCAGACTTTCAGAGGTCTAGGAGGAGCTAGGGGAGGGAGATTGTTTACCATCTTGGTGTTCTTTTTGTAAACCTCAACCTCGGAGTGAGCAACAGTGAGGTTCAACCCAGAATAATGTTGGAAAATGTTGGAAGCTGTGTTTGGCTGCTCCGCCTCCATTCATCGGCTGTGTGGAAGAGAAAGAGGCGAGGTGTCACGGGGTAGGGTTGGTCAGTGTTGGTTTACTGTGAGTTTGGCTGAGTTGGGAGGACACGTGACACACGCGGCTTGCCAGCTCTTCTCAGGACCGGAAACAGCAACTACAAACATCCCCCTCCTTCACTCCTGTTTGGCCTCTGTAAGGGAGGGGGAGGACGAAGACTGGCTTTGCTGTGTTTGGTGAGTCTCAGAGTACCCTGTGGACTGGCAGCTGCTGGGCAAATGCATTGTTTTGGTTACAACAGGATGCGATTCCTGCATGGTAAAGGTGGCATATTTCAACGGCAGGATGATTTCTTCAGATAGCAACCTGGGATTTTTCTCTTACCGTGTTTTCCCTTCTCATTCTAGGAAGATGGTTTGGCCTGTGACATCCCTTACTCTGGACTCTCTGGATCCTGGGATGGAAAGCAGGCATCCTTCAAGGTCATCATCTCTCCCTTTCTGGCTTTGCTTCAGGGAAGATGGTGCTGTCAGAGGAAGGAATAAGGCAGCTGGGGAGGCTGGAGAGCAGGTGCAACAGGGGAATGGGATAGGAAGGGGAGAGTGGACCGGGGAGGTGCTCCCGGACTGGGAGTGGTGTGGGCTCCCTAACACACAGAGCCACAGGCGGAGCCAGAGCCTCGGGAGGGGCCGTCATCTGTGCCAAGGCCACAGCCCCGGAACAGAGGCACCACCAGCCAGCAGGGACGGCCACTGTGCTGTTCCAACAGCAGACGCCTCCCTGACTACTGCCCCTTTCCTCCCCTTGGTCCCTGCGCTGGCTCGGCCAGGGGGAGGGGTGTGCTGCTTCCAGGGTGAGCCCTCTTCACTCGCGGTGGGATTGGTGACTCTCTGCCTTTGCTGGGAACTGAAGACTCCTGGGCAGAATCAGTTTGTTTTAGAAAACTGTGTGGCATTTATTTTCTGCCAAATTTGTGGAAGAAAAATCGCTGGCATTGTGGCGCAGCAGGATAAGCCACCACCTGCGATGCCAGCATCTCATCGGGGCGAAGGTTCGAGTCCTGGCTGCTCCACTTCTGATCCTGCTAATGTGCTTGGGAAGGCAGCAGAAACTGACACAAGTACTCGGGCTCCTGCCTTGGCGTGGGATGGTGTTCCAGGCTCCTGGCTTCAGATCAGCCAAGCCCCAGCCATTGCAGCCATTTGGAGAGTGAAACAGCAGATGAGATCGCTGCTCCATAAACAACACAGTATTGAATGAATAGCCTCGGGCGACAGTGTTAGGGAAATGGCAACACTTGGGAGAGACCTGACCTGAAAGAACCCTGTAGAAATCAGGAAATCACTGTCCTATTTTTGCCTCTGACGCTAACAAGCTCTGTGACCTTCAGTAAGTCTTCTCCCAGCTGGGCCGCCCATTTATTTTAGTGAAGGGACCAGGAACAAATGCCTGGCCCATGTTACTGCGAATCTAGAAGGGATTTGGGAAACGTGGAGTAATCTTGAAATCCTATTAGCAAAGATCGTAGTTTCAGAAGCTGTCCCAGTCCTGAGACTGGCTGTGCAAAAGCAGAGCTTCTGTCACAACACTTGTTCACACACTTGCGGGCCCTCTTTGGGGATTCTGGTCTTCCTCGGGATTCTTACTTCTGGGAATCTTTATTTTAAAGAGAACAGCGCCTTCGAAAAAAGCCAATCCCTGCGCAGCGGGCTCATCTTTCACCAGGGCTGCAGCAGTATAAACATGACTGCATGAGGCCCCGTGTTTATGCTTTCTCAATGACTTCCAGATCAAATTTGCTGTGTTTACAACTTGGAGACACTTTTTCTAACCACCGGCATCGCAAACCCAAAAGGGGTGGGAGGTGGGCTGGGGCTGTGCCCCAGCTGGGTTCTCTCTGCATCTCCACGATGCCCGTTGGGAAGAGCGCCTGGCACACTGGGCAGCTGCCTGTAGACGCTGGCTTTTCATAGGGAAATCAACTTGATGCCGGGTTGCTATTATGCTTCTTTCCAACGTGATGCCTTGGGCCCAGGGAGGGGAGCGGACTGCGAGGGTGATCTTTCCTGCGGTTCTCACCTCCTCCAGACCCAGTGACTCTCACTTTGAAGTTACCTTCAGTTCCCTGGAATCACAAGTGGTGTTAGTCTCTTGCCCGGAAGCCCCTGGGTGCACAGATTTGGCAGGTCACCTGTTCAGGTACCCAGAGAGGTTCTGCAGAGCCTCAGCATGAAGCCCTTGAATCCTTGCCCCTTTAAAAAAACAAACAAAAAAACCACGTGGCTTTAACACAGCCACCTCTCCGAAATCCCCTTAAACTAGATACTCAGTGTGGCCAAGTGATGTCACGTGGGCTGACTTGCTGAATCCTTAGCAGCTGCCACAAACCTCCTTCCAGACAGTGCGCTGCCTTGACTCATCCTGTCACTGTCCTGCTTCCGGGGAGGCACGGAGAGTGGACGTGGCTGGCAGCCTGAGCAGCCACGACCATTGCTGCCTGGCGGGGTGACCTTGGCCGAGTCCCTGACCCTCCGAGCTCCAACCTCCTCTGCTCTCTTGCCTCATAGGGACAAGCTGTGTCTCCGTGGGACATGCGTGTACAACAGGACTTTGTTCAGGCACTGAGGAAGCCGAATGTTCCATGATCATCAGCCTCGAGGTTCTCGGGAAGGTGGTTCAGGGGTGCTGTGAGTTGCTATGCAACTGAGGATATTTGTAGAAACAAACCTTGGTGATTTTAGAATGCTGACGTCCCTGAAGCGCAGACATGAGGTGTCCCAGCATCCTCGCAGCACTGCCCCTCACCTGGTCTTGGACTCCACTGTACTGTGGAAATGACTTCCCTCTCGGGGCCCCTGCTGCTCCCTGCCAACCGGCAGGTGGGACATGGTGCTCTCTGCTAAGACTCCCAGGTCCAGGCTGCTGCAGTTTGGCTCCGAGGTCCTCAGGCTGGTGTGTGGGGAATGTGGGGGCATCAGAGGTTAGGAAGAAGAGTGTAGCTGCGTCTCAACTGAAGGGCATTTGTGGAAAGAAATAAGCAAGGGAAAATGTTATTACCAGGAGGGACAAGCGCTATGGTGCTGCAGGCTAAGTTGCTGCTTGGCAGGACTGCTGGGGAAGGCGGGAGCCAAGGGCCTCTCTTATCCACGCGGGAGACTGGGACAGAGCGCTGGGCTCCTAGCAGCCCATTGCCAGCATCTGGGGAGTGAACCAGAGGATGGAAGACCTCTCTCCCTCTCTCTCTGTTTCTCACACTCTCTCGGTCACTCTGCCTTTCAAATACATAGATCTTTATTTAAAAAGAAAAAATTTATTCCTAGGGAACTCAGATCTAAATGAGTTTTAACCCTCCTTCTTGGGGTTTTGATTTAACCCAAGTTGCATATTCTTGGGTCACTCCCTCTCTCCCACATAAACATATGAAGTGCAAGCTTCAAACTTATGATCATATTGTTTCTTTCTTTCTTCCTATCTTGAAAATGTCTTGCTTTCAGCTTTTTCCAAAAAAATTTATGGATATTTTCATTTTTTATTTGAAAGGCAGAGAGAGAGAGAGAGAGAGAGAGATCTTCCGTCCACTGGTTCACTCCTCAAACACCTGCAACAGATGAGGCTGAGCCAGGTGGAAGCCAGGAGCCTGGAACTCCATGAGGGCCTCCCACGTGGGTGGCGGGGACCCAAGTCCTTGAGCTGTCACCTGCAGCCTTCCAGGTGCGCATGAGCAGGAAGCTGGGTGGGAGGCCTAGGAGCCAGGACTCACACCAGGTGCCCTGTGTCGGGATGCAGATGCTCCATGTGGCAGCTCCCATGCTGCACCAGGCGCCACCCCTACCTAGGAGCTATTGATACGCGTCTGAATGGATCAATACAATCACTTGCTTTTTAAAAACAAAACAGGGAATTTATGAAAGAAGTGCATTGTGCTCCTCCGTGGGTTTCAGGACTGTGGTCTGGAGACTGCAGCCCCCAGCCCGGGGAGCTCCGCTGGCTGTCCATCAAGTCCAGCCTTGACCCGAGCCTGGAAGAGGTTTCGTGCTGCTTGTCGTGTGACCCGGGGACAGTCACTTCCTGTCTCTCGCCATCACTGCCTCCTGTGAAAAAATGAAGGCGTTGGAACGGGCAGCCTCTAAGGCATCTTCCAGACAGAAAGCTCTCCTCTGCTTATAGGTACTACACACTTTCACAAAACCCAACAGCAAAATTAACAGGTAAAATCCATCCTCCTCCAACACGTTTCGGCTTACAAAGCTGGCCAATAGAGGCAAAACTGCCTGTGTCATAAAAAAAAATTAGAAATAGCTGCTTCGTTTCAGCACTATTTGATTTATGCGTGGCATTTCCAATCCTCTCATTCCTGTAATTGACACAGCTTTGTCTCGTCGGACCTTCCCGTGCGGGTTCTCTCTCCCTAGCAGCTGACCCTGGCACATCCATCACCCAAACGCCCAAGCAACAGCCCCGGAATGTTCAGCTGAATTCTCTAATGGCTCTGATCAAACCAGGCCTAATGTGCACTCTGGTGAGCAGTCACTCACACAGCGTGTGTTGCTTTCTCATTATCATTTTATTTCTACCATTAGGCACATTTGAAATATAAATCACAGCTAACGTCTTTCAAAGGGAGGTGAGCTCTTCGTCTCGACTGTGGGGGCGGGCCCGGAGCACACGGTGTGACCTTGGGGGAGTGAGCTCCTCTGAGGCTCACTGTCCCCACAAGGAAAGGCAGGCTGGGAGGGGGCATGTGTGTCCCCTCCCAGTCCAGTCACCAGTGGGGTGGCGTCAGGAGTGGGGTGTTGGTAAGGCAGCTGCACGTCTCAGCCCCTTGCTGCCACCATCACCTGTTTGAAAGAGGAGTCTAACGTGGAACTCAATATACAAAACAAATCCGAATGATACTGAGTTGGCATAGCTTTATTTCATGTGTTCTTTTTTGGGGGGCAGGCAGAGTTATACAGTGAGAGAGACAGAGAGAGAAAGGTCTTCTTTCCGTTGGTTCACCCCCCAAATGGCCACCACAAACGGCACGCTGCACTGATCCAAAGCCAGGAGCCAGGTGCTTCTCCTGGTCTCCCATGCGGGTGCGCCCCAACTGGACTAGAACCCAGTGTGCCGGCACCGCAGGCGGAGGATTAGCCTAGTGAGCCAGGGTGCCGGCCTTTTTTTTTATCTTTTTTTTTTTTCATGCGTTCTAATCTGTAACATTTATTACAAAGTTGTTGTGACCAAAACGGGGAAATGGTGGAGTGGGGGTGGCCGCTGCTGTCTCAGCGGCTTCCACACCCATCAGCTTCTTCTTTGGTGCAGCCGTGTCCTTTCCAGGCTGCCAGTGGAAGCTTTTCTGAAGGTGGCACTGCAGGCCCAGGGCACTCCCCAAGGGTGCAGACAGCGCCAACTTTTTGTTCTAAGATCAGTCTTGAAACGAATGCCAGCTTCCCGTGTTACTGGTTTCTGACGTGTTAAGGTAGTAGAATTGAGTGTGGGTATTATTCCTTGTTTCAGGCTACGAAAATATTGCTAACTGTTTGATTAAAATACAGGTTTCACTGCAGTGCTTGTAGGATTTTCCAGTCACTTGTGAAGACTGTCTTCAGGCAGTGGATGGGGAGAACTCCAGGTCCGAGGCAGCCCTCCTGGGTGAACACTTGTGAAGCAGGTTCATTGCCATACAGAGTCCCAGGTGAACCGTGCTATGATTCCCACAACCTGGGTTTTTTTTTTTTTTTTTAAGATTTATTTATTTATTTGAAAATCAGAGTTAGAGAGAGAGAGACAGAGAGACAGAGAGGTATCTCCCATCTGCTGGTTCACCCCCCAAACAGAAGCCAGGAGTCAGGAGCCTTCTCCAGGTCCCCCAGGTGGGCGCAGGGGCCCTAACACTTGGGCCATCCTCCACTGCTTTCCCAGGTGCATCACCAGGGAGCTGGATTGGAAGTGGAGCGACTTAGAATCAAACCGGCATCCATATGGGATACTGGTGCTGCAGACAGCAGCTTTACCCACTGCGCCACAGCTCTGGTCCCAAGATCACGTCTTTCGAACTTTAGAGTACAAGTTATTTCTGCTTTACTTTTGCCTCTTAAATACAAGTATTGAGATCAGCCATAACTTGTTTTAAAGTCAGGTTCTCACACTTGCTCCCTTTTGTGGCTGCCTGTTGCCCTGGTGGGCCCTCTCATCACGTCTCAGCAGGCTCCTGACCCCACCTGTGAGTGGGGTCTCACTGAGGTGAGAGGAGGCACAGCTGTGCACAGGGGCCATGGTAGAGGTGGGAGCGGCCTCAGAAGGCTGCAAAGGCAAGGCCCTCCTGGATGGAGAGGGGCCCCTCCTGCTGCACAGACCCCAACCCAACGCCTAGCAAGCCTCCTCCCGGTGCCACAGCTGGGAGTCTGGGCTTCGTAGTCATAGATCCAGTGTTTCCAGGGGCCGGTGTTTTGGTGCTGTGGGTTAAGCCACTGCCTGTGATGCTGGCAATCCAATAGGAGTGCCAGTTGGAGTCTCCTGGCTGTGCCACTTGCCATCCCGCTCCCAGCTGGCACACCTGGGAAAGCAGCAGCAGATGGTCCAAGTACTTAGGGCCCTGCAGCCACATGGAGTTCCTGGCTCCTGACTTGGCCATTTGGGGAGTGGACCAGGGATGGAAGAGAGAGAGAGATTCGGGTTGCGCATGACTTTATTTCCCTAGTCTGGTAAGATCTATTCAAACATCTGCCTCTTCTCCCACAGCCAGCACCCAGCGCCCAGCCCCAGTGTGTGAGAAAGCACACAGCACACCACAGCAAGACTGCAGAGACTGATGTCCAGCTCCCCCTGTGTATTCCTTGGCCAGCAAGTGTAGACTGTAGACCCCAGATTGTTTCCAAGTGGCCAGGAGCAGGCAGTGCGTGGTTTCTCTGAGATCTTGGTGACACCTGATCTCATGCTAACAACATCATGTAACTGAAGGAATTCAAAAGAAAAACAACAGAACGTTCTGATGCGTGTTAGTCAAGGCTGAAACCTTTGCTGTAGCATTCCAGAGAAAGTAACTTTGCAGAGGAGAAAATTCAGAAAAATGAGGACGAGGTCTTGCCTGTGCCCACCTATACTTTCTCCTTTCCAAGGGGCGTCTGGGAGCCTTGTGCTCTGTGTCCTCATCTCTTAAGTGAGTGGGACCTAGCCGGCTGATTCCGCATCCCCCAAACCAAGACTCCTAGAGGTGGTTAGTAGGGGATGACTGAAGGGCTGGGAGCAATTTCCAGTATCCCACAGGGAATGCTGCCGCAGCTCCGCAGGTTGCACGGAGGGATTTAAGGTGCCTCCTTTCTTTGCCTCCGGCTGTGTGGTTACTCCGAGGGCCACCTCCTGCAAAGCAGAAGCCTGCCTGCCAGATAGAATGGTGATGAATCACCCGGGCTTTGACAGCAGGCGGAGCCGGGGTCAGCCTGCACTCACCCACTTCCCAGCCAAGGGGCTTCAAGGGAGCAACTCGATCTCTGTGACGCGTGGTGCCCCCGTCTGTGAAACAAGGACCATACCATCTGCCTCTCAGTGTGCCTGGGGCTGGGCCACAGGAGCCCTGGAGAGACAGTCACGACTATCTATCATTCAGAGTCCTGATTCATGAAAAGCGAGAACTGAGTTATGGAATGGAAGTGGCACGCAGGTGGACAGCAGTCTCCCCAAACAGGTAGCTCACAGGTGTTCTGGGCGCTGCAAGACCGAGGGCCTTCCCACTGGGCGACCCTGGGATTCTGCATTTTGGAAAACCTTCATTTCATTCCCGTGGCCTGATTCTGCACGTCCTCTGGTGTGGTAACCCTCAGGCCCAGGACCATAGCGCGGGCCGCGTGCCCTGCGGTGACCTCCTTCTAAGCCACCCCTGCATCCTCTAGATTGAAAACTGTTGATTGAAAAGGGCAAACAATGCCTTGTGTCATGGTGGCTGCAGAGCGCCATCAATCACGACAGCATTCTGCACGCTCAGACACCCGCACCCCTCCCCCGCCCCACGCATCGCGGGCCGTGACATCAGGACCTGGGGAGAGGGGGAGATTTGAGGACAGCTTACCTGGGTCAGTGAACTCTGCTCTGGGTGTTTGCTTGATTCTCAGTAATCTTACTGCTTCACTTTCTTCCTGGAGCTCTTTCCTGCCAATGAATTACGCGTGGTTTTTCTTTGCTTAAAAAAACAAAGCGAACCTAAAACTGCTCTACAAATAGGCTATGAAAAATCACGTATGCTGTGCCGGAAAGGGTGCCAGAAAGCGTAAAAGTTGGCTCCCAAGCTTTCCTTCTGTGAACCTGCTGGGGGCCTAAGCCTTGGACCTGACAGGGACCCCTCCCCACCCGCAAGGCACCCCCCTCCCCTCCCCAGGTTTCCTTTTCACCGCAGTGAGATGCTGCCACAACTAACATGGTCATTCTTCTGAGAATGGGGTAAACTCCTTTTCTTCTCTATAAGGCCCTGAAATGTAATCACTCACCCGGGGGAGGGGCCTCCACGCAGAAACCCATTTGCTTTTACTCTGGACTAAAATGGAAAGAGTGGAGATTCAAAACTTAGAGATGGAGCTTGTTGATGAAAATTCACAGCAGCCGCGAACCTTGTCGGGCTGCTACGGTGAGTCACTTCTTTACGCTTCCTTGTGATGATGAGCTTTCACTGGGATAAAATGGAGTCATTCTTATCAGAGAGAAACATTGTTTCCAAGGCTGGCTGGAGAAACCCTGTTTCCCTGGAATCTAAAGAGAGAGCCCCTAAAGGGACTCCCCCCCACAGGAGGTGGGTCTCCAGAGCAACCACGCACTGGTGCATGCTACAGTTTGGGGAAACTCTCCCCAAAAATGAATCCAACTTAACAAACCACAAGCATTTAGATGTCCACAGATGGCAATTCTGAATACCTTATTGGGGGCACAATTTCAAATCGTTGGGATATTACTGAACCCACACTCGCAATGCTCTGGACCTATGTCTCCTGTTTATTACATACGGTGATTACCATGTCCCAGAACTTTCCCATCCCCAGAGGTAAAAGTATTCTCACATGGCTATTGCTGCACTCTCTGTAGCTATGACGTAGTTATTAAGCAAGAGATTACCTTAAAGAAAGATTTATCTATTAATTTGAAAGGCAGATTGACAGAGAGAGAGAGGGAGGGAGGGAGGGAGAGATCTTCCAGGGGCAGGGCCAGGCTGAAGGCAGGAGGCAGGGACTCCATCCCGGTCTCCCACACGGGTGGCAGGGGCCCAAGTACTTGAGTCATCTTTGTGCTCCTCTCCCAAGAGCCATCAGCAGGAAGCTGGATCAGACTTTTTAAGAAGTGTCCCTTAGAGGGCCAGTGCTGAGGCATGGGGGACTAAGCCACCACCTTCGACACTGGCATCCTGTATCAGAGTGCCGAATCCAGTCTCAGCTGCTCTGCTTCTGATCCAGCCCCTGGAAGAGCTCGCTCGCTCTCTCTCTCTCTCTCTCTCTCTCTGTCACTCTGCCTTTCAGATAAATATTCTGTAAAATAAATAAACAAAATACAAATAATAAGAAGTGTCTCTTTCTATGAGCCAAGAATAAAGTGAATCTGAGAATAGGGAGGAAAAGTAAACCTTTCATCACCGAAAGAATTCCAACTTTGCAGTAAGAGGGAGCAAGACACTACCCTAACACGTGAACTCTGCTGGCTCAAGTGACCGGGAGGCACCTGGCCACAGGAAGCTGTTCAGCCCCACTGCCACCTGCTGTGCCCACTGCTGGCCTTTGGACAACCTGTTAGAAGGTAAAGAAAGGTCCTTTTATGTTTAAATTTCACTGCCTCAGAAACCCTATCTTTCCCATTCTCTCTTTTCTTGGCAACTCTAGAAGTCCTTTGTAAACATCCTCCCGGAAAAGTCTCTGTAGATGTGTCTGATAAACTTCCAGTCGGGGAGAGTTGGAAGTCCTGGCTGAGAACCGACTGGGTGGAGCCTCGAAGAGATCATTCCCTTCTGAGAAGCAGCTCAAAGCAGCAAGCTCCACCAGGGTCCCGGCGCAGCAGAAGGGGCATAGTCCTGGTCGGCTTGCCCAGACTTTATTTTAACAGAACACAAAGTTTGTGGCAGTCTTGCTGCTAATCAGGATGGAAGAGCTCAGACTCTTGGTCCTAAATACACAAAATTGGGAAAGAAAATGCAATGAAACATTAAAAAAGACATTTCAGGGCTAGCTAACACGCAAACCACTCTAAAAAACAAAAGAGCTCATCTGGTCGAAAATGCACTTTTACATTATATATATGAATTGTTGATTGGGCCAGCGTTGTGGTGAAGTGGGTTAAGCCACAGCCTGTGATGCCGGCATCCCACATGGGTACTGGTTCAAGTCCCAGCTGCTTCACTTCCGATCCAGCTCCCTACTAATGGCCTGGGAAAGCATCAGAAGATGGCCCAAGTCCTTGGGCCCCTGTACCCTTGTGAGAGGCCCAGAAGAAGCTCCTGGCTTCTGGCTGCCTTTGTGGCCATCTGCGGAGTGAACCAGCAGTGGAAGATCTTTCTCTCTGTCTGTCTTTTAAAAGCAAACAAACAACAACAACAACAAAAAACTTGGCAAACTCAAGTTTCATGTATCGTATCTGTCCATCTCTCCTCTTCCTAACCCTCTTCCATCACAGGTCAAAAGGGGCTTCCTGCACTGGAGGGAGAGGGGAAGCGAGAGCCTGACAGCCTTCCCATTCCAAGGCCCCGTGGACCAATCCTTCCATCCCATCCCAGAGGGCCCCTTGTAGTTGAGAAACAATTGGCAGAGATCGCAAGAAACACAACTTGGGTATTAATCCCTCCTTCCACCCAGCCCTGTAGGGATTGCAACAGACTTATGGTTTGTAAGGTCAGATGCTGAGTGACTGTGGAGAACGCTGAACTAGAGAATATTAAAGCAAAACGAATACACCAAATCCCTCTTCTTCTTTAAGTGAAATCTCTTTGGTGAGTCCATGAATTTGAGCATTTAGATGACAGACTACACCCATTTTTTTAAAAAAGATTTATTTATTATTGAAAGTCAGAGTTACACAGAGAGGAGAGGCAGAGAGAGAGAGAGAGAGAGAGAGAGAGAGAGAGGTCTTCCATCCGCTGGTTCACTCCCCAGATGGCCGCAATGGCCAGAGCTGTGCTGATCCGAAGCCAGGAGTCAGGAGCTTCTCCTCAGTCTCCCACATGGGTGCAGGGCACAAAGGACTTGGGCCATCTTCTACTGCTTTCCCAGGCCACAGCAGAGAGCTGGATGGAAGTGGAGCAACTGGAACTTGAACCGGCGCCCACATGGGATGCCGGCACTGCAGGCGGTGGCTTTACCCGCTACGCCACAGCGCCGGCCCCAAGACTACACCTATTTTTTAAAACTAAGCTTAGGGTGGGTGCTTGGTGTAGCAGTTAAGGGACTGTTTAGGGACCAGTGCTGTGATGCAACAAGTTAAGCTGCTGCCTGCAATGCTGGCATCTCATATGGGCACTGGTTCAAGTTCTGGCTGCTCCACTTCTGACCCAGCTCCCTGCTAATGGCCTGGGAAAGCAGCATGGAGATGGTCCAAGACTTGGGTCCCTGCACCCATGTGAGAGATCCGGATAAAGCTCCTGGTTCCTGACTTCAGCCTGACCCGGCCCTGGCTGTTGTGGCCATTTAGGGAGTGAACCAGCTCGCTCGCGCACTCTCCCCCTCTCTCTCCCTCTAACTCTGCCTTTCAAATAATACATAAATAAATGTAAAAAAAAAAGAAAAAAAAAAAAGACATGGCTTGACATCCCGTATCAGAGTGCCCAGCGTTCAAGGCCCCGCTCTACTCCTCAACTCCTCATTCCGGTTTCCTGCTTGTGTGCACCCTTGCAGGTGACAGTGACGACTCAAATACTGGGGTCCCTGCCACCAATATGGGAGTCATGAGCTGAGTCCGGGGCTCCTGGCATGGCCTGGCTCAGTCCCAGCTATTTCAGGCAGTTGGGGAATGAACCAGGGAGCAGATTGCTCTCTGCCTATCTCTTTCTATCTCCCTCTCCCTTGCCTTTCTCTGTCTTTCAAATACATACAAAATAAATTAATTAAAATTAAAATTAAGCTTTGTCAGGGGTATAAGTGACATAAAACAGCTGCACATGAAGCATACAACTAAGTTTGGACACATATGTGATCCCCGAGAAGCCGTGTGGCAGTGAGGATGGTGGATTACCCTCCAAAATCTCCTTGTGTCCCCTGCTGGTCTTTCTTGCCTCTCCGGCATCCTGTCTGCCTCTACCCATCCCCTAGTCCCCAGGCAGCGACAGATTTGCTTTACACGGCCGGAGACTCGCTTGCATGTCGTAGAGCTTCGTATCAGCAGCATGGCAGAGGCTGTCCTCTTTCTAGCGTGACTTCTTGCACTCAGCGTAACAGCTCTGAGACTCACTCATGTTTTCTGTGGACAACCGTGTGCCTGCGTGAAGACGTTCTGGCAAGTGGTGGAACGCCACACGCCGCAGCGGTCCCCGAGAGCCTGCCTCCTGCTGACATCCAAGACTGGATCATGACTGGTGTCGGTATCTTCTGTGGTGCGCTTTCCAGAATGCATCCCGGTCCGTTTTGTTGCTGAACTGTGGGGGAGTAACTTGTAGGATCCAGCCCCTTCACGTACCCATTCACTTACTCACAGACATGTGCATTGCTTCCCGTTCTTTGGCTACTACAAATAACGATGCCTTGACTGTTTCATGTGAGAGTGTCTGCGTGCACACGTGCTTCCATTTCTCGGTGTAAATGCCTGCATGTGGAGCGGCTGCATCATATGGGAGGCATATGTTGCTTTCCCAGATAGTCTGCACCATTTTACAATCCCCTCAAGTGCTGTGTGAGGGTTCTGGTTACTTCAGATCCTTGTCAACGTTTGGCACTGTTTGGTCTGTTTAGTTTTAGACCTTCTGGGAGGTGTATCGCGAGTTTGTACCTCACTGTGATTTTATTTGCCTTTCCCTAATGACCAGTGATGTCCATCTTTATGTGTTCTTGGTTGCTAGCCACAGTCTTATAGGATGAAGGCTGTTTACGTCTCTGGCCCATTTTGTAAACTTTTTTTTTTTTTGGTAGTACGGAGTTTTGCAGGTTCTTAATATAATCTGGAAACAATTCCCTTATCAGATTTGTGACTTGCAAATATCTTCCCCAATTTCTTTTTAATTTTTATCCAAAGGTGGTTGTTCTCAAATTACTTTTTTCTGAAAAGAAGTTCTTAATTTTGATGAAATCCTTGTGCTGCTGGTGGTGTGACTGAGAAATCATGGCTAACCCCAGGTCACAAAGGTTTTCTTTTACATCTCTTCTGGAAGTTTTAGAGTTTTGGGTTTTACATTTAGGTTTACGACCTATTGTGGGTTATTTCTTGAATATGGTGTGAAGTAGAGCTAAAAGTTCTCTTTTTTTTTCCATTTGTTGTCAGATTATTTCATTGCAATTTGCTGAATAGTTTATCCTTTCTTCACCATCATTCTCTGCATCTTTGTTGAGGGTGTGGAATCTATTTCTGGATTCTTCATATTGTCCCATTGATCTACTGTTGTTTATTGTTGTAACATTGGTGTTATGACACCAATATTGCACTGTCTTACCCAGTGAACTTTAAAATGAATCTTTAGAGTGTGTAACTTCTCCAACTTTGTTCTTTTTCAAATATGTTGTGGCTTTTCTATTTCCTTTGCATTTTCAGACTGGACAGAACGAGCCAAGTGTGCGACATTCAGAACCAAATCTAGTTCTATGGAGCTGTGCTTTAAATCACAGTAGCTCTCAGTTTCTTGGCATAGAGGAGCCATTGATAGCTACCAGCACCCAGAATCTTTATTTAAGAGCACAGTATATAGATATCTTGAAAAATGAGTGTTTAAGTAAACATGAAAGAAAGGAAGAGAGGGAGAAAGACAAGATTCAAGGATGAGGTGAAATTTCATGGTAGAATTTTGATAAGCAGGAAATAGAATAGGAGTTAGCTCTCAGAGAGAAAATACAAAGTATATTTAGCAAGAATTCTGATCAGGTTGTAAGAAGCAGGACATGTGGTTGGTGCTGTGGCCGGGGAGGCCTGGATTCTACAGCAGAGTCCTGCCTCAGGTCCCAGTTACTTGTGGCTCCTATCCAGCTTCCTGGTTTATGTTACTGGGAGGTAGCAGATGCTGGCCCATTACTTGGGTTGTTGCCACCTACACGGGAGACCTGGATGGAGTTTCCTGCTCCTGGCTTTGGCCTGGCCCACATCTGGCTGTTGTGGATATCTGGGGAGGGAACCATCAGATGAAAGATGCCTCTTGGGGCCGGCGCTGTGGCGTAGCGGGTAAAGCCTCCACCTGCAGTGCCGGCATCCCATGTGGGCACCGGTGAGAGTCTCAACTGCTCCACTTCTGATCCAGCTCTCTGCTATGGCCTGGGAAAGCAGTAGAAGATGGCCCAAGTCCTTGGGCCCCTGTATTCGCATGGGAGACTGGGAGGAAGCACCTGGCTCCTGGCTTTGGAATGGCGCAGCTCCTGCTGTTGCAGCCATCTGGGGAGTGAACCTGCAAATGGAAGATCTCTCTGTCTCTCTTCTTCTATCTTTCTGTATTTCTGTCTTTCAAATAAATAAAGAGATCAATCTTTTTTAAAAAAGATATTTCTTTTTCTTTTTCTGTCTCATCCTCTCTCTATGTTACTCTGCCTTTCAAATAAATAAATATTTATATAAAGAAAATGGGCTTCATTCAAATTTATATCATTAGTTTTTGTTTTTTTTTTTTAAAGAAACGGCACATGGAGAATATAACAGAGGGTCTTGGAATTGTGTTTGAAGAGCTTGTGCCTGATTTGCTAGGAAGTGAAAAGACTTGTTGAGAGGGAGAGGACTGTGATGGGGTTGAAGGAATTGCACTAACTTAGCCAGTTCTGGCTCACATCCTTGACCAGCTCAGTGGCGTCTCACCTGCTGGCTGCTGGGCAGGAGGCGGGAGGCGGGAGGCAGAGGAAGGGAGGGCTGGCACTGCGAGGGAGGCTGACTGGCAGGGGCTCTAGTTTCAGCGGAATGTTTTCACGGGCATCGCCTTTCCCTTCCCGGAGGTGTGGATGAGCAGAGGTCCCTTGGACGTGTTTTTCTTGGGCAGTTTTATTGAGTTTCAACTCAGAACACAGGATATGGGTATGGATCTTCAAGGTTTAGGTTGAATTGCAATCCACCCTCAAAACTTCCTTGAGGTTGGTTATTCAACACTTCTCTCCATTCAAATGCCCATGGAACAGGGATCTGTAGAATGCAAAAGGCTGAAGAGCCTTTTATATATCTAAGCCATCCTCTTCCTCCCAGTGTTCTAGGAAGACATTCGGGGGGAGAGAAGAACTCACTTCCAGCAACGCCACTCAGACCGCAACACTTTCTCCCACAGAGCTCTTCAGTCAGGAGACAGAGGGGTCTGTCCTGACTCGAGCATTGCCTGATGCGTGCATGTACTGGAACAACTCACGACTGATGTGTGCAGGTACTGGAACAACTCACGACTGATGCGTGCAGGTACTGGAACAACTCACGACTGATGCGTGCATGTACTGGAACAACTCACGACACCCATCATTTCTGTGTGTCGATTCAAAAACCAAAACCAAAACTAGCAATCATCAAAAGAAGAAACAAATCCTTCAGTGGCAACCTGAGACCTTCAGCTGGTGTGAGTGTCTGTCCTGAGTTGCCCGGAAGAGCTCTGCTTCCTGCCTGTCCCCTGCGCGTGGTTATTGATAGCTATTGATAAGGATCCCTTTTACCCCGCCCCTCGCGAAGGGAACCAGCTCCGACGACAGATTCTGTGCTCACCCCAAGTAGCCCTTTCCAGGGTGGAGCTGGGCACTGGGGGTGGGCTGGAGGGTCTCCGAGTCACTGAGGACTGTGTGAGCTCAGTGAACACAGAGAAAGGTCAGCTCTCCCAGGAAGAATGTTGACCTTGAGGATAAGAATTGCATGAAAACAGGCACATCCGACCTGCAGGATCCAGCCCTCCTTACCCACCCCACCCTCATCTCCTGACGCTCCACCTTGCAGTCCGGCCATGAGGAACAATCTATGGTTCCCCGGCTCTACCACGTGGCTTCCGGGCTCTGTGCTTTTGAGCACATTTTCCCTCTGCTGCAAGATGCTTGCCTGGCACTTCAATGCCTGCAGCTATTTGCTCTGGAAAACACCTCTGCGTCCTGCACAGGGCACAGCTGAAGGCTTCCTTCTCTGAGCTGCCCTGGGCCCCCCATTCTGTCCCGTCCTGGAACCACATGACATGTTTGCATGCAGGTCGCCTTCATGGATGCCGAGCAGCCGGGCAGGAGGCACCGTCCCTGAACACCATGACTGGCACAAGGCAGGGTACAGGCAAGGACGCTCACGTACATTCAGTCAATAAATCCGTGCTGCACACTGACTGTTCCCGGCATGACACGGAGGGGCCACGGCAGCATGTGTGAGATCCCCAGGCCCGGAGTTGCCCCCCAGCCCATGACTGAATGCAGCAGGAGGGGTGGACGGAGCTGTGCATCTCGCACATGCGTACCTGTGCCTATTCCAGAAACTTCCCAGAATCTTGTGTTCTGCTTGGGAAGCCAAAATGCTTCAAAACAAGGCCGTCTTTTTCCATGCAGCTTCGTTGTGAATTAAACAGCCTAAGTCCCTGATCTATTTAAAAACAGGGAAAGGGAAGTCTAGGGTGGCCAAAATAACTTTCTCAAGGTCGCCGAGCAGAGTGGTTGGTCTCCTGTGAGACAAGCCCCGGTGAGGGAGCTGCCGAGTGCACGGCCCCACCTAGCTGTGTCCCTCTGGGCCCCAGCCCCTACCCGCCCTCCCGGGGCTTCTGGTGGCCCAGGGCTCTTGAAAGGCAGGGCTGTGTTTGTGCCTGGAGCTAGGCAGGAGTTCTTCCAAGAAGCTGGGCCAGGGCTGCAGAGGCTGAGCAGGAGCCCGGGTGCTGCTGGCCGTGAGGAGGGCTCTGTCCTCAGGGGTTTATTTGTGAAATTCAGAGAGTGGGAGGGAGGCTGCACAGCTAGCCAGGCCAACTAAATACCAGGTCCCCAGAAGCTTGGCAAATGAAAACACGAACCACTGAAGTGAGGGCAGGAAAGGGGAAGGGAGAGAGAGAGAGAGAGAGAGAAAGGGAAGAGAATATAGATGATGATGATAGATGGATAGATAGATAGATACATACATACATACATACACACATAGATGGATGTGGGTGAGAGGTGGGAGGGGGAGAGAGACTGACATTCTCAGGCTGAGCCCTGAGCTCCAGCTTTGGAGAGGGACGATTCTTCTGCTCTCAGAATCTTGTAGATCCGTCTCATTCTCTGCACACCCACGGCCCCCTTTTCTCACCCCAGTTCATGAGTGCCTTCAGCCACCCCCTCCCACTCCAGCCCAGAGATTCTTTCCCTTGATTCAGAGGTTGCAACAGCTCTGGGCTGCTCAACACTCCCCCTTCTACCTTCATCCCTCCTTAATTATATATAGGATCACCTGCAGGCCACCAACGTGTGTAGGTATGATATGGCTCTCCCAGGACAGAGGGGCAGGGGATGGCCTCCAAGGGAGGGGTTGTTCTCCCTGCCAGACCCAAAGGATGGTGTGGGGGCTGACCCCGGCGGCAGCCCGGGGCCTGCCTGCTCTGTCCACAGTCTGGGCAGCCTGCCCTGTCTCCCTGGAAGCAGGCTTCCTCCGGCCCTGAGCATCCATTAGATTCCAGAATGGCCTTGCCCAGTTCTTGGCAAACATGGAGTCATAGGGAGCCGGCAGAAGGTGACAAAGGTGACAAAGGTGCCCAAGAATGCTGCTCCCGCTGGCAGGCAACCTGAACCCAAAGCCCAGATTGCTCAATCAGCCTCTGCATTTGCCAGGGGCTTCATCCAATGCGCCCCGAGCCTTCTCCCTGCCCCAGCCCAAGCTTTAACCAGAGAGGAGAAAGGAGGAGAGAGGACGGACATGAGGGGGAGGCAATCGCGAGTTTCACTTGCAAGCCTGGACTCTGAGGTTCTGGACAGTAACGGCCGTCACTCTCCACTTCAGGGAGTTAATTCGGAGGGAATCCAGGCAGCGGAGGCTGCTTCCCAGGGGCCTGCACACAGTGGGTCGGCATCCTCCGGCCCAGCCTCCACCTGGGAGGCCCAGCACCCGGGAGCCCTCCTGGCCTTGGCTTTCCCCCTTTTGTCTTAGAAACTGCAGCCCGCAGTGTGGCGGGGGGCAGGCCTCGGCACCCAGTAGACTGCCCAGTACTGAGGGTGCCAAATGTATTTGTTGACTGCACAAATGATGAAAACATGAAGCAAACAAGGCAAGGGGCAGAGGCAGAGAAGGAGGTGGGAGTGACGGTGGCCAAGATTGGGGGTGTGGGTGGATAACCAAGATCCGGAGGGGTGCTGTGTGTTGGGGCAGAGATATTGAATGCTGGCTGTCAGCTGCCACGGCCACACCTGGCATAAGCAGTTCCCTGATTCACGTCGGCCCGCCTGACCCTCGTCAAGGGGACTGCAGTTCAGAACTGTCTGTCTCCAGGTGGAGGAACCAAATGACCCAACACCCTCCTCTCGAGATGAGGGCAGGTGACACTGCCAAGGTCACAGTGGTTTGGGGCAAGGCCCATCTCCAGGTCAGGTTCTTCTGGCTCCACCTGTGTCTCCAGGAGATTTAAAGAGGCAGCTTTTCCTGGATGAAGATTGATTGGTGGCTCTGACTCATTAGCACATGCAACCGGTTAGACCTGGTGTGGCTCCACCCTCCCTATCTCCGTCTCACACCCAGCCCCGGAGCTGCTTCTAACCTACCCTCTACTTCTCCTACTGCCCTTGCTGCAAGCTACCTGGAATCCCCTGTCTTTTTAAAAAGGAAGCACCGATTTTGCTGGAATCACACCAAGAGCACCCCCCACACACACACACACATACAGACGGAGGCAGAGAGAGAGAGAGAGAGAGAGAGAGAGAGAGAGAGAGGTCTTCCATCTGCTGGTTAAAATTCCCCAAAAGGACACAACAGAGCTGCGCCAATCAGAAGCCAGGAGCCAGGAGCTTCTTCCGGGTCTCCCACTCAAGTGCAGGGACCCAAGGACTTGGGCCATCTTCTACTGCTTTCCCAGGCCATAACAGAGAGCTGGATCGGAAGTACAACAGTCGGAACTCAAACTGGGGCCCATATGGGATGCCAGCAGTGGCTTTACCCACTACACCATAGCACTGACTGTGCCCCTATTAAAAAAAATTGAAAACAAAAAAATAAACCTTTATTTACACCTAAGTTCCCCAAAGACCAGTATCCCAGTGTCCCATTCATTTGCCTCTCTGTAATCATAGCACCCAGTGGGTGCTCAGCAAGAGTTTGGTGTTGGGAAGAGGCAGCCTGGAGAGCCAGGAGCTTCATGAGCCCCTGAGCTGGGCGGTCTGGCGAGGAGAATTGCCTTTTATGTGCCAATGAGCCATGCAAAAGATGTTTGCTATTAGCCCTTCATTTATTCCCAGCTATGTGCAAGGGACTGAAGTAGACCCAGGCCAAATTAAAATCCAGCCAAATGCGGTTGGTGGACAAGACCTGGGGAGTGGGGACGCCAGCTGGGATGGGACTGTGAGCCCCTTGCCTTTTCTTACTGATATTCGGAGAGGCAAATGCGAGCTGCGTTCCCTGGCAACGCATGGCTCAGTCCACTTCAGTCTAGTTCAGGTGTGAAAGCAGCCAGGAGCAGCCTGCAACATGTACTGGCGTGTGGGCACCCTGGGAATTTTTTATGGATGACTCTTGGAGTTGGATCTACAAAAATTACGTAGCTGATTGCTTAAATGTTTCAGCTAAGGGGCAAAGGAAAATCGCCAAGACTCCAAGCCAAGGGGATTTCAGAGATTCTCAGCTTACACTTGTGATACCCCGGAGTGTTTCTTGTAATTCCAAGTGATGTCACAGGTTGTTTGAAAATATAATTAGGTATCCTTTAGCTTGTAGTCTCTCTCTCTCTCTCTCTCTCACACACACACACACACACACACACACACACACTGAGTGGCCCCTGGTGACGGACACTTTCTTGGTGTTTCACTGTTGCCAAGAGTTTGTTATGGGACGAGACCCAAGAAGTCAAGCGATAAAGAGGCCTCTCACATCCAAATGGTATAGAACACTGGATCTACACTGCATTTCAAAGGAGAACAAACCTGACAACATAAAAATACTTCTGTACAGAGAGGAAATTATCAGAGGGAATAATAAGAGGCAGAAACAAACCCTGAATGCCTCCACTGCTTGACTACGCTTGTTCCAGGGCGTATTTTGGGAAATATTTTGGGAAATCAAACAGCATTCTTTTCATGTCTTTCATAAGCAAGTGTGGGGTCTGGGTTTTCATCGGGTTGTGTCAAGGCAGCAGGGCGGAAGGCTGGAGGGAGGGTCTCGAAGGCCTTGGTTTGGAACCTCGATGGGCAGTGGGAGCCAGCGATAGTTTTGAAGAGGACAGGGGAGAAGGCAGGAGCTCTGCTGGGGCAGGATACAGCGGTCATCTGGAGGGGGAAGAAAGGAGGAAGTAGACCCATTTCGAGGGTGGAGCAATAGCTGAGCTGTGAGACGCGGGAGGCACTGCAGGCAGACGTGGTGGCACTGAGACGCGATTATCTAAGCGCTAGGTGGGTGGTGAGGTAAGAGGAGGAATGGAAGCCCTGGGCCATCTGCAGGGATGATGATCACTGGCCAGAGAGGCAGCCGCTGGGCACAGGTGTCAGCTGAGCACCTGAAATGCAGCTGATCCACATTTCTAAACTGAGATGTGCTGCAAGAGGATCTGAAAAAGTTTGTGGAAAATTGAATTAAAAGATCATTTTATTTTAGGTTGAAAAAATCTGAAATCCATTCATAGTTTGTTCATAATGTACATTTTCCACAAACTTTTTGGAGACCCCTTGTACAAGCCTATTTCAAGACTTACTACCAGAAAATGAATGTAAACATCCCATTAATATTTTTGTATGTGGGTTACGTGTCAAAATAATACTATTTTGTATACACTGGGTTAAATAAAATATATTAAAATTAACGGTTTCTTTTACTTAAAAAAAAAAAAGTGGCATCTGGGGCTGGTGCTGTGGTGCAGCAGATTAAAGCCCTGGCCTGAAGCACAGGCATCCCATATGGGCAGCAGTTCTAGTCCCGGTTGCTCCTCTTCCAGTCCAGCTCTCTGCTGTGGCCTGGGAGGGCAGTGGAGGATGGCCCAAGTGCTTGGGCCCTGCACCCGCGTGGGAGACCTGGAAAAAGCTCCTTGTTCCTGGCTTCAGATTGGCGCAGCTGCAGCCATTGTGTTTATCTGGGGAGTGAACCAGCAGATGGAAGACTCTCTCTCTCTCTGTCTCTACCTCTCTGTGTAACTCTGTCTTTCAAATAAATAAAATAAATCTTTAAAAAAGTGGCACCTAGATCATATAAAAGCACACAATTTCTTTTTAAAGATTTATTTATTTATTTGAAAGGCAGTTACAGAGAGAGAGGAATAGACACAGGGAGATCTTCCATTCAACGGTTCACTCCCCAAATGGCTGCTATGGCAGGGACTGGGCTGGCTGAATCTAGGATCCAGGAGCTTCACCCGGGTCTCCCATGTGGATACAGAGGCCCAAACACTTGTGCCATCCTCTGCTGCTTTCCTGGACATTAGCAGGGCTCTCGATCAAAAGTGGAGCAGTCGGAACTTGAACCAGCACTGGCATCCTAGGCAGTGGCTCAGCTGCTGTGCTACAGCACCCGCCCCTCACACTTGACTGCTTTTGGCAGCGAGGCTACAGAGCCCCCTAGGATCTGGCCTCTGCTGCCTCCCTTTCTGCCCCCCCCCCCGGGGGGGGGGGACGACATGCCCTTTGATCGCCACATTCAGGGCTCACTGGCGTTTCTGCCCCCCTAGCTCACCCAGCTTTTCATTGCCCCTGCCGTGCCCTCTGCCTGCAAGGTTTTCGCCCCAGGGCCTCACTCCCATGGATCCTCCCTCCATTCAGCTGCTTGGGACTCTGACGTCTTCTCAGGAGGACCTCCGTGCCCACCCCTCCCCCAGGAACACTCTCAGCCACTGCTCTATTGTATTTTCTACAGGGCGTGTCATCAGGGTTCCAAGTGCAAGGCTACAAGTCTAGCTCCTCAGAGGACAACTTAAGCTCCAAG